CGGGGAGCGGAGGCTTCAGCAAGACGACTCTCTTAAACGAGAGGAAACCTAACAACGCTCAACCCTGGTAGGGGGACTCTTAAGAGTGGAGGTCTCAGCATAACGACTCTCTAAAGCGAGAGGAGACCTAGCTACACTCAACGCCAGAGGCAGTTAGTGAGGCTCAAAAAGAAAGAGCCTACAACTCATATTACTGCCTAAGCGGAGCTCCGGGGAGCGGAGGCTTCAGCAAGACGACTCTCTTAAACGAGAGGAAACCTAACAACGCTCAACCCTGGTAGGGGGACTCTTAAGAGTGGAGGTCTCAGCATAACGACTCTCTAAAGCGAGAGGAGACCTAGCTACACTCAACGCCAGAGGCAGTTAGTGAGGCTCAAAAAGAAAGAGCCTACAACTCATATTACTGCCTAAGCGGAGCTCCGGGGAGCGGAGGCTTCAGCAAGACGACTCTCTTAAACGAGAGGAAACCTAACAACGCTCAACCCTGGTAGGGGGACTCTTAAGAGTGGAGGTCTCAGCATAACGACTCTCTAAAGCGAGAGGAGACCTAGCTACACTCAACGCCAGAGGCAGTTAGTGAGGCTCAAAAAGAAAGAGCCTACAACTCATATTACTGCCTAAGCGGAGCTCCGGGGAGCGGAGGCTTCAGCAAGACGACTCTCTTAAACGAGAGGAAACCTAACAACGCTCAACCCTGGTAGGGGGACTCTTAAGAGTGGAGGTCTCAGCATAACGACTCTCTAAAGCGAGAGGAGACCTAGCTACACTCAACGCCAGAGGCAGTTAGTGAGGCTCAAAAAGAAAGAGCCTACAACTCATATTACTGCCTAAGCGGAGCTCTGGAGAGCGAAGGCTTCAGCAGAATGACTCTCTTAAATAAGAGGAAGCCTAACAACACTCAATCCTAATACAGAAGCTCTAAAAAGTGAAGGTCTCAGCATAACGACTCTAAACGAGAGGAGACCTGACCACACTCAACGCTAGACACCGTTAGTGAGGCTCACGATAAAGCCTATATGCTAATAGTACGGTCTAAGCGGAGCTCTAGGGAGCGGAGTACACTGCCTAACGACTCAAAGCTGGAGTACTAAGCTAGGAGTACTGACCATGCTCCTAAGTGCCGAACAGAGCTCTAGGGAGCAAGCACTCAACATACCAACCCTCTAAAGCAAGGGGAGTGCAACCATCCACCCTTATGGATCAGCGTACTCAGTACGAAGACCTCAAGTGAGGGGAGTACTCAAAAGCTTGACCTAAGAGCGACTTATCAAGGAGGCCCACCAGAGCCTAACAACCTAAACAGCCACAGAGCTCTGCTGAAAGGGCACTAGGAACTGTGATCTCAGCATAGCGACCCTCAAAGGGAGGGGGAGCTACCAGGGTCATCAACAGCTGATCAGGGAGGCTCACAGAGAGCCTCAAAACCCTGACATAACTGCAAATGAAAATACTGGGGAGCAGAGTGCTCAGTATAACTCTCTCCTCAACCTAAATATTTACCTGGGCTGAGAGGATGAGGAGGCTCAAAGGAGGCTCAAACAAGAGCCTAACAACTCAAAAAACTTGTCATTACACCAAGTCAGGAGCCTCCTTCACCAATAACGTAGATATCTCACATTATACACAGTTCCTATTCTGTGAAAATAAAAAACAAAAAAGGAATTCTGAAAGAGAAAGCACTACTCGTCAGATTCCTTCCATGCCCCGCCTACAATCCCCGTGAATCTCCGTCGAGAGCCAAACACACTCTGTTCAAACACTAAATTCTCTCAAGAATCAGGCAAGAACAGAAACCGCCGCGAATGCATCGCATTAAGCTTGTTCAACCCCCTCGAGAGGCTCGAGTACAGACCTCTGCTCTAGTAGTTCCGCGAATGCAAACAGTGAGCGCATCCTTATCCCTCGTGAGTCAAACGCATGTGCTTCCGTACACAAGGCTTGAAGACAAAGAAGAGGATGACGTTTTCCGCAGGTGCGCTTTTATACCCGCACTCGCTTTATTGTTTAAGTCATAGGCTGCCGCCTGCCAATGTCAAGTTCATTGTCGTTTTTTCATTCATGCTTCAGACACCGGTCACGCTGGAGGCGTTCCCTTAGCGCCCTCTAGAGGACGCAGCGTGGAGTTCCCTTTCGAAAGGGAACTGGGGAAATGTGCTCGATAAGAGGAGTTCTAGAAAGAACACAAGCTTCAGAGTTCTGAACCAACTGAAGTTTTTACCTAAGTTTAAAAGGTGAGACCAGTGAGGAGAGCATTACAGTAATCAATACGTGTAGTAACCAGTGCATGTATAAGGACTGCAGTACTATTCATTGAGAAAATTGATATTACGTTGGTGGAAGTATACAGTACGCGTGATATTATTCCATTACAACTCTCCACAACAGCTTCAGAATATCAACCATCCTTACGGCAAGGCATGTGAGATCTACAGGTACGGCAGTCAAACTCAAATATCATACACGCATATCTTATTCAAATAATGGATGGACACTGACTGTACATGCTCTTTTTATTTTTGGCATTGTCTTGTGGGAAATTGCAACACGAGATGTTCCTTTTAAAGGTGTGTATCACCACCACTATCAGTTTTGACAGACTGTTGTTAATCTCCTACATATATTTGTGTTTGCCCTGAATATTACTTACATTTTTATTAAATACGTGCCACACACTTTCTGTGCCTTGCTTTTAGACTGTACAACCCCCAGTCAGATCTACCAAAAAGTGTGTGTAGAGAAGGTCATGGAGCCACTTCCAGCAGACTGTCCTAAACAGCTAAAAGAGCTCATCAATGCCTGTCGAACATTTGAGCCCTTCCTACGACCAACAGCACGAGGTGAGACCCTGACACACAAGTGAAGTTACATTACACAAGCGGGTCGTCAAATTTTCTTCTGTAATTAGTAATGCGTTACAAGTTACATTACATAAACAGATCACGTTTTGAAAGTAGTGAAAAAGCAACATCTCTTTATACGGTTGTCACATAATCACATGGTCCAAGGCAAGCATAGCTGATGGTGTGAACAAAAGTAACACAAATGTAACCATGACATAGCATAAAAAGTAAAAATGTAACTTTTATTAAGAAGTAACATGTCATGTTGTTTTGTTTAAGAAGTAACATGCCATGTCATTATTTTGCAAACAACTTCATTGAGACTTCAGATGCTATTCTGTGGTCCTCGTTCTATGTGCAGTAACACAAAGGATCTCTTGTTACATACCTTTCTCTGTGCCATTGCAATAAGTTTGAAAAAAGTAAAACTGGCACATTGACAGTGTGACGCCAAAGTTCTTGGCTTTATGTCCGAATAAAGTGGTTGTGTTTGCTGCAAATGGAGAATAAAAGTGGGCCGAATACAGAGCCTTGTGGAATACCAGTGGTATCACCTCTGCCTCCTTTTCTTTTTTTAGATTTTTAGAGTAACAAAACTTTTAACAAAAAATTTTATGCTTAACCAAAGTTAGGGCAAACATACTGGCTATAAATAATTGTTAACTGATAAATAATGAAACCTGAAAAAAACAACAGGAATGGTAAATGATGATGAGAGACTTTCCAAAATAAAATACATGATCAATCTGAGCCATAAAAATAAATCAAAGGTCAAAATGTCTTACACCTGCACAAACTTTTGGTGAGATAATTCAAGAAAGGACAAACAGGCTATAATGGACCTAATTAAGGCATAATCTTACAGCTAATCTTTACTCTTACTCCCAAAACACAAAACTGACGTGATTATAAATGAGATTTCACAAACAGATTGTGTGAATATGTGACCGGAAACACATGAATTGTCACTTTTGAAGATAGCAATAGAAAATCAGATTTTTTTATTAAGCATTATTCATGGTCTTATTTTTAGTGATTTATTTTATTTGTTTATTTTTTTTTTGTATTTTTTTTTTTAGTATTGGTCGACAGGCTCTTTAAAATGGTGGAAGAGAGGGGGGGCCTGGTGTCGTTGCAGACATCCTGGCATCCAGTTTATTGGGTGAGGAGACTGAGACGATTTGTTAATCTAATGAATAACTGATTTGTTAAATCAAATGAAAAATTGTGTGTTTGATTGGTCCAGACGCTACAAAACATTACATTAAAAGTTACTGTTGTTGTTGTTATGTAACTTTATGAATAAAGTTACTGACAGTTAAAATTACAGAAAAAGGAGTAAAGATACATTTAAGTGACGTGATGTCAGAGTTTCAATAAAGTGATGTAAGATATTTTGTCAGGTGATGATCATGTGAAAGTGGTACGCTTTCCAATTGTTGGAGCCATTAAAATATAAATGCAATTGTTAATTATACGATAAATGGTTAAATTTATTATTAATTTATAATTTAACATATAAATATATATATATATATATATATATATTTATT